GGTTTCTAAACAGGGTTCTCTTTTCTATTTCTTTTTTCTAAGTTTTTAGGCTTTGCGTAAAAGGTCGAAATTTCGACGCAAGTATCGCATGACGTCAGCAACCGCGCCACGAAGGCAGGGCGGCAAGAAAGAAGGGCAACACATCAAGATCAACACGGCACTCTGGAGTGACTGATCGATTAGCCAAGAATGAAGGCCTCAACGTCCAGTTTGCTCCTGATCTTGGCCGTGGCGCTGCTCGCCATCCAGGTGGCACATGGAATGACGATGCAGATCGAGCCGCGCACTACCGAATGCTTCAAGTACAAGTCGCAGCGTCCGGGCGAGGACTTCACCTTCGAATTCGTTGTGACTCGCGGTGGCCTGCTCGACATCCAATTCAGGATCGTTAATCCCTTCGGTGCTGTCCTGCACAGCGAGCTCCATTTCTTCCCCGAGGGCGAGGAGTTCGTGAAGACGATTCGATCCGAGGCGGGTGGAGAGTACAGCTTCTGCTTCGATAACGAGATGTCCAGATGGACCGCCAAGGTGGTCAAGTTCGAGATCACCACTGAGAGCAGCCCATCGCAGCAAGCCTCCTCCAGCGGTACGCTCATTTGCCGTCTGGCCCACATTGCCAGTGCATCTCATCTCGCAGCCCAACTTGATTGATCCCAACTGGCTTGTGTAAGCAGAAACGCTAAAGCCCCTGGAGAGATCCGCGCGCAACATCAAGAGGGAGCTCGAGCGAGTGCTCAAGGAGCAGAAGTACCTCCGCGTGAGGGAGCAGACTCACCGCGACAGTACGTAGCTCTTTTTGCCCGCTCTCCCACCAGAGCGAGGCCTCCTCGTTCGTCTTCTGCTGATGCTCTCCTTGTGCGTTGCCTCTCTGATGCCCACTCTTCTCTCTCGACCCAACAGCCCAGGAGAACACCTACACTCGCGTCTACCTCTTCAGCACGCTCGAGTCGTGCGTGCTGATCGGCATGACCGTCTTCCAGATCTTCTACATGAAGAAGTGGTTCAACACCAGGAAGACCGGCGGCGTGTAAGTACGGCCACGACTGCGCGCACGTTCACACAGCAACAACGATCCCTCTCGGTCGTGCAACAACAACAAGGTGAGGCAAAGGTGAGAACTCCAGGAGGGTGGGGAGATGATGTTCATGATAATCATGGCGATATGCCACACAAACACTGGTCAGTAGTGTTGCTCTCTTGTTCCTTCTCAACTAAACGCTTATTTATTCACGAACGACCTTGTGCGGTACAACATCCACCATCGATGCCTCCACCGTTTGGTTTGCCCCTCCCCTTTCCTCTCCTCTCGTCTCCTAATTCTTCTTCTTGCGCTTGCCTCACACATGGAGGTGGGGTACATCACGATGTAGGCGCGTGTTGGGGCACCAGCAGCAAGAGAAAGAAAAAGAAAATCGAAAGAAAAGGGAGCGTTTATTCTGTCCCACAATGAATGCGGAGAAGATGGCGCTACATAAGGGTGGATGAGGTGAGGGCAGGCATACTTACCTGGCTGGAAGGGCTTGCGATCAAGCAGGCGGGCTCTTTGGACGCTACCCCCTGCCATTGCACCAAGGCTGTGCGTGGTAGAGTCCAGCGCTGACCCCAAGCGGGTGGGCGCACAGCATAATTTGTGCTAGTGTGGGTGGTGCGCTCGTCGCCTACCCACGCCCCCTCCAACGAAAAACACAAAACAAACTGAGCCTTTTTGATCAGTTGAAGATGGTCGTGATGATGTAGCCTTCTATGGCTCACCACGACGATCGGAAGCAACACTCGCCCGCCTCTATACGTCGGTGAGAGTAATGAGAGGAGTGCGCACTGCTGTTGATCACGCGTTTTATTCACGGTCAAGAGGCACCACACTACACACCACTTGCTCTACTCCTCTTCCTCCTCTTAACTCACCGTGTGCGTGTGGCAAGGTCACCTGATATAACGTTCATGTCCATTCGTCCGCTTGAGGCGTCAGAGTCTGCTTACACAGAGCTGGCCGAGAAGAAGGACAGAGCGGCGGCCGAGAGGGAGACCGAGAGCACGTAGTTGCTGCACAAGATCAACGGGCAAAGTGTAAGTAAGCACCTCAGAGGGTGGATTAGCATTTAGTTGCTGAATGAGATTTAGCAGCGGGAGGCGAGATGAGAATCGTGGCGGGAGAGGGGGGTCGTACAAGGGAGCGGAGGCCGACTTGAAGACGAAGAAGCCGAGCACGATCACGCCAAAGAGGAAGAGGGCGTTGTTGTAGAGGATGGAGAAGGCAATCGACTCGCGCTGGGTCACCTGAATCTGCTCTTGCTTCTTCTTGGCCAACACATCCTTCTTGTCCTTGCCGCTCTTGGGGACGAGGCCCTCACGGTGAGAAACGAGCCTGCATCGAATCGATGAGTGAGTGCACCCGAATTGTTGACCATTTGCCGAAGAGACCACTTACCTGGTCTTGAGCCAGTGCGCAATGTTGTGGTAGGCGAGAGTGAGGATGAGCGCGCTGCCCACCGAGACGACGCCGAAGAGGGGAAGGTAGGTGTACAGCTCGAGGCCGAAGATGGAGTAGAACAGATCTACAACAGATTGAATCGGAATTGTGAATAAATCGAACAAATTGGCATGCTTAGGAGATAAATGAAGTGTAATGATACAATAGGGACGCTGAAGTCGAGCGAGTACGTACAGAGGGGGATGAGGGTGAGGGCAAGAGCGCTGGGGAAGTAGATGGCCAGCTGCTCGGAGGTGGGGCGATGATCCTCCTGGAACTGGGAGAAAATGTCGTTCGATTTCTTTCCCTTCTTGTCGGACATCTTTGATGGTTTACAAAAATTCTAGGGCTAATGCTTCTGGACTGATCGACTGCAATCTCAAAGGTGCGCGAGGTCACCGGTCTTGCTGCCGTTGACCCCAGCGTTGACTGCTTTCGTCGAGTCGACTTTTTTGCTGTGCTGGCATGACGTCAGCCCCAGAAACACTTGATTTTTTTAATTATTTTATTGTTATTCGAACAAAGAAGTTCAATTCCGATCAGAGCAAGATGGACGTGCAGGACATCATGGGGGTGCAAACGCCCAAGAGGGGGCAAGGCACTCCTCGAAAAACACCCACAAAAATCAAGAGGCCGGGTAACTTATCCCCCCCCCCCAAACAAATATCTTTGTTCTGGAATGGCTCACACATTGGCATTCTAGATGGGATGAGCCGCGAAGTGTTTGCGCTCACCGGTGGAGCAACGCCTCCGCCACTCGTACCCGAAGCCTCTGTCAACAAGGGCTACAAGGAAAAGAGGAAGATCTCGGACAAGAAGGTTTCATGGTACACACAACTGCGCAATGTGCCATTGGGAAGCAGCGCGTCAGTGCGCTACGTAGCTCACGAGTCACGCTGCCAATTGCCGGTTCTTTGCGTGTGGTGGCATTGCAGGGTGTGGAAGCCGATCGTGCACCCGGCGAGGCCGGAGGTCGACCGTGACAAGCCGTTCCTCAGCCACTGGGTCAAGGCGGGAGAAGAAGACGTCGAGTACCCCTGGGCCAAGTTCAACAAGAAGCTCGCCATCCCCAAGTACACCGACGAGCAGTACAAGAAGTACTTTCAAGGTGAGCAGCGGAGCACCGTCACTCCAACAACATCAACAAAAACACTTCCCCTTATCTCTGCTCTTTTGCTCACTCCAATTGTCCACCCAACAGACAACGACTGGACGAGAGAGGAGACAGACACGCTGTTTGACTTGTGTGAGCAATTCGACCTTCGGTTCATCGTCATTCACGACCGCTTCCCTAACCCCAAGAGAACCATCGAGGTATGCACACCTCCGTCATCCATTTTAAAGCTGCACCACGTCCAGCTCACCTTCTGTTTATTTATTTATTCACGCCACTACTTGCCGCCCGTGTAGGACCTCAAGGACCGGTACTACTCAATCACGCGCCAACTTCTTTCGCTCCAATTGAAGCCGGAAGCGTTGGCCCAGCACCCCGTGTTCAGGTACCCCTTCAACAAAGGTACAGTCCACCGCCTTTGCGGTCATCACTCCCTCGCACACGATTCATCTCTCTCTCTCTCTCTTCAAATTGCAGCGCAAGAGACCGAGCGCAAGGAGCACTACGAAAAGCTGTAGCGACGAACAAAGGCGCAGATCGAAGAGGAGGAGATGTTGATAGAGGAAATGAAGAAGATCGAAAAGGCACAGAAGAAGCTGCAGGCGGACCGACAGAAGGTCGCCAAGCTCACCCAGTCCATCATCGCCATGCCGGGAACCGAGCCACTGCCCCCGCCCTTGGAGCCTCCCACGGTACCGCTCCCTTTCCATCTTCGCCCGTGCTTGCACAAAACGTGCAATCCGAGCGTGGCAGCTGACGCCTTCCGTGCGGTGTGCGACGTTGTTCACAGAAACGAAGGAAGAAATCGATAACGAATGAGCTGGACCTGCCCGGAGGCACTTTGAAGCGCAAGGCCGCGGGGAGCGGCGTGGGGGCGAGAACGCCGGTCAAGATCAACGCGGCCTCGGTGAGCCTGCGCACGGCACAGAAAGTGGAGGCCATCCTCGGCGAGCTGGGAATAGGTACGCACGCCCACCTTTCCGCATTTTTTCATTTGGACGATCTGACGAGTTCCACCTGCCCGCTTTCGCCACCGCAGTGCCCAGCCTCACCGCTACGACGGCTACGGCCAAGGCCTACAATGACCTGCGACAGGACATCGTCATTTTGCTGGACCTCCAGGGCCACCTCGAGAAGAAGGCACGCCACCACCATCATCTCTTCCTTTGTGATCGATGGCTGACGATGGTTCGGGCGTGTGAACAGGAGTTTGAGGTGTCGGTACTGGAGAAGCAGAAGAGAGACCTGCTGGCGCTGGACCTCCTGGCGGCGCACAGGGACAGCTTCGCCCAGGGGCGGCGAAAGCGGGCCAAGAAGCGGAAGCTGGACGATGATGCCGAGTACGAGCCCAGCGGTGACATCGGCGGTGGTAACGGGCTCGCCACGTCATCAACGATGAACGGCGAGGGATCGATGGCCGGCGAAGAGGAGGACACGCCGTGGAAGAAGACAGTGGGGCGACGAGGTAGCAGCCGGCGCCTGAGCAGCAACGAACCATCGACGCCGACCACCCCGGCACCTGCCACGCCGTCGACGCCCGCGGCGGCCAAGCCACGCCGGGGGAGGGGCCGACCAAGGTTGATCAAGAAGGAGCTGGAAGCCGTGGCGGTGCCGGCAGCGGAGGAGGGCAGCAGCAGCACTACGGCCTTCGATGACGACATGAAGACGGAGGAGTAGAAGGTGGTGAAACGCGTGTGGGCATCTACTTCACGTCATGCATGTACATCGCAACTGCGCACAGTTCTCGCAAGACCTAAAAAAACGACACAGATGGAAGATGATGCTTCGCGGCAGGTGGTGCCAGGATGCAGGCCCTACTGGTACTGCTGCGACGAAGAGGACGACGCGGGCTGGGGTTGCGGATACCGATGCTGCCAGATGCTCGTTCATCAGTTCAAGCGCAAGAAGCAAGATGAATCGCGCGAGGTGACACTACCCTCGATTCGGCAAATCATCGACAGAGTGAACGACAGCCTGGGCAAGCATGGCGACGAGGAGGCAGCGTCGTTGCCCACGCTGAAGTGGGGCGATTGGATGACACTAGAGCACATCATTCGCTTCTTCCAAACAACCCCAGATCTGACGAATGGGTTCGAGTACTTCATCTTCGAGCGGCTCGATCGGAGGCAAGGGCTGGTGGCCAAGCTGGAGGACCACCTCTCGCGGCACAACAGCCTCATCATCGCCGAGGGCACTGGCATGATCTTTTGCATAGGCGGGCTGCGTCGATCTACCACCGCGACGGACGACGCCGGCGATGTGCAGCTCTACATCTTGGATCCGCATGGGCCACCTTCGTCATGGTCCGGAAGCGAAAGTGACGAACCGTTTCGATTCAAGGGCGGCAGTGGCTGGATTGGATTCTATCCCCTCTTCTTCGGGACGTGCCTCGATGAATTCTTTGCTGCCTTTCCGGAGAGGAAGACCGAGATTGACGCTGCAACGATCGACATCTCACACAAAAAGAAGGAAGAACTCTACGCGGACGTCATGGACATCTGCGGTGGTTGGCGTTTCCTCTTCATCCATCCTTCTTGCTAAACACGCAGCGTGCCATCTCGTGTTCAATCTCGAGACAAGAAGGAAAGAAAGAAAAGAAGAGAAAACATAAAAAGAAAACTCAGGACTTTCGGGCCTATCATAAAATCGTCAAAAAAGGAGTTATTTATGAATGGACCAACCGCAAATGAGGACGTAGACCAACAAAAAGAAAGGCTGAGCCACCCTGGTCTTCAAGACATACCTTTCATCTTCACACTCCGCAACACACCCCTCCACACAACCAACCATGGCCACTCCCTGTGCAGTCTGCGAGAAGCGAATCTACCCCAACGACCCCTCATGGTACTCCTCCCTCTCCCTTCCTCCTTGTAAGAAACCAGCTCGTGCCAGATGGCAGTGGTGGTGGTGGTGGTGGATAGATCGGGCGCTCATCCATCTCCTTCTTCTCTTTCTCTTCTTTCTCTTCTGAAGGGCTGGCGAGGGCGGCAAGAAGTGGCACAAGGGCTGCTTCAAGTGCTCCGACTGCGGCGTCCTGCTGGTCCTCCGTAACGCCCAGGTCCTCGGCGGCACCATCTACTGCGAAAAGCACAAGCCCACCGGTTCGCACCCCCCCCCCACCCAAGCCACGCACGGCTTGGGCCACGACTGACTCTGTTTTTTTTTGTGTTTTTATGGTTGCAAACAACAGACAAGCCCACCCAGACGGCCGACAGGCTCGACCTCAACACCGAGAAGAACAAGCCCAAGGTAATTCATCTGTTCACCAACCACACAACTAACAAAACAAAGTCGTTCAATTTCGGACTTATATTTATTATATTTTTTAATTGCAATTATATTAATTGATGTTTTTTATTGTTCGCTGCTGCAGGTGGCGACGGTGAACACCAACATGCGAGGCGAGCTGGTGGGCCAGAAGTCGACCGAGGGCGCCGACAGCATCGGCATCGGGGGCCGCATCCAGGCCGGCAAGCTGGCCCAGGAGTCGCGCAATGTGAACGACAACGTGCGCGGTGAGCTCGCCGGCCAGAAGTCGGCCGAGGGCGCCGACAGCATCGGCATCGGCGGTCGCATCCAGGCCGGCAAGCTGGCCCAGGAGTCGCGTAACGTGAACGAGAACGTGCGCGGCGAGCTCGCCGGCCAGAAGTCGGCCATGAACGCCGACTCGATGGGCATTGCTCACTCGATTGGTACGTCGTCGTCGTCGACGCGCTCTCTTCATTCATTCAAGAACAAGCGCACCATCGCTGCAAGCTCGAGCTCACACGTCGCTGTCTGTTTTGTTGTTGTTGGCGTGGGCGTGGGCGTGGGTGTGTGCAGAGACGCAGAAGATGGCGACCGAGACGCGCCTGGTGAACGAACAGATCAGAGGCAGCGCCGCCGGTCAGCAGAGCAACCACGTCGCCTCCGCCGTGGCCGTCACCGGCCACCAGGAGTAATGCCTCGTTGCTGTGAGTCTCGCGCCACCCACCTTCTTGTAGAGTTAGTTAAACTTCCCTTCTCACCAGCTACAACGACCGAGTCGCCCGTGTGTGAAGTCATCTGGTTAATTGTACAAAGTTGGGGGTACATGGGGCGGTTAGACGGCGTGATGGTCGTGACCGAGGAGAGCGTCGAGCTGAGTGACGACGTCGTCCATCGACGGCCGCTTCTTGGCCTCGCCGTGCCAGCACTTCTTCATCAGCTTCTTGAAGGCCGCCGCACAGTCGCCCGGAATTGCCGGCCGCCGACCCTCCAGCACGTCGAGCGACACCCCCATGAAGTTGCGGCCGGCGAAGGGCTGCTTGCGCGTGAGCACCTCCCACATGATGACGCCGAACGAGAACACGTCGGCCTTCTCCGAGTACTTCTCGCCCCTGATCACCTCCGGCGCTGCACACAAGATTGGAGTGAGGACCAAGCGACCCGGGGGGGGGGAAAGAGCGAAAGCGACGAGGTGGGCGAGGGGTGGGTGGGGGGTACCAGTCCAGCAGGGGGTGCCGCAGCGGGTCATGGTGGCGTTCTCCTCCTTGATGCGCGCGAAGCCAAAGTCGGCCACCTTGACGTTCATGTTCTCGTCCACCAGCAGGTTGGACGGCTTCAGGTCGCGATGCACGATCACCGGCTGCAGCGAGTGCAGGTAGTTGATGCCCAGCGCCGCGCTGTGCAGCAGCTTGAGCTTCTGCGCCCAGGGCAGCTTGACGCTGTTGTTGGCCAGGATGTCACGCAGACTGCCATTCTTGACGAACTCGGTCACGATGCACAGGTTGGGCCGCTTCACGCACGCCCCTGTGTTTGTGTTTTTGGTGACAATGAGCACAATCCCGCACCGAAGCGATAGGCGAGGGGAGTGTTTGGGGGTGGGGGTGGATGGGAGTATACCGATGAAGAGAACGATGTTGGGGTGGTGGAGCTCGGACAAGAAGGCCATCTCGGCGCGGAACTCGAGCATGCGCCGCTCGTCCAGCTTCTGCTTGATGAACCGCTTCACCGCCACCTCGACGCCCTTCCACTTGCCCTTGAACACCACCCCGTACGACCCCAGGCCCACCTGTTGTTTGTTTTGTTTTGTTTTGTTTGTTGCGGAATTGCCGTGTTATCGATTAATCACTGGTGCCATGGTGCGTGGGAGTGAGCGAGTGGCTTCGTACCTGCTTGCCGAGGGCGATCTCGTTGAAGTCGATGATCCAACGGCACAGGTTGGCCGATGTGAGGAAGTTGTCTTCCTTGAACATCATGCCCTCGCCCACCACCGCCTGCGTCTCTCCGTCGCTGCTGGCGCTGGAGATCGAGTGCTGCGCGGCGGAGCCCTCGCCCGGTTCGCCGCCGTCCAGGCTGGCCTTGGACTTGGGCTTCTTGCCCTTGGCGTGGTGGTCGCTGCCCGAACCCGAGGTCGGGCTCAGATCTGAGTCCTTGGCCGCGTGCGAGATGCCACCAAAGAACCGGCCCTCGAGCCCTCGCGGTCTCAATTCGTAGAGCTTCGCCCCTACAACCATTCATCGATCGTCAGAAAAACTTCACGCGTGTCGTGTCGTGTCGTTGGTCGTGTCGTTGGTCGTGTCGTGTCGTGTCGTGTCGTGTCGTGTCGTGTCGTGTCGTGTCGTGCGTCTTGTATGTGTAGAACAACAATCACGTACCCTTGGGCGCGTCGGGGATTTCGAACTTGCCCAGGCACACCATGCGCTTGGCCTCCTTGCTCGCCAGCTCGCTCTCCCGCACCTTGTCGAAGGCGGTCGCCGACAGCAGGATCTGGCCGCCGTGCGTCATGGCCGTGATGCGCGCCGTCGCGTTGATCACCGGCCCGATGTACTCCACGCGCCTTGTCATCGGATCACGCACCGTACGCGGCTGGCCAACGTGCACGCCCATGCGCACCCGCAGACCCTTGAAGATCACGCGGTCGTCCGTGTCGCCCCACTCCTCGGCCGCGCCCGGGTGGTCGAGCAGGGCCTCGGGCCACTCGAGCTTGACCAGCTCCTGCTGGGCCTCCATGCACCACTCGAGCGCGTCGGTCGTGTTCTGGAAGGCCATACAGAACGAGCCCTCCCCGCTGTTCCGGTCCCTGTGCACCAAATAATGAAATTAGATATATAAATAAAATAGAATAATGAAATTGGAAGGAAAAAGTCATTGAAAAAGAAAAGAAAACGAGAGCGAGCAAGAGGGTAATACCGAATGAAGACGACTTCGTATCCGCGGTGCTTCTTGAGCAGCGATCTCATCAGCCCATTGTGGAGGAGCGTGGCGTCGCGCATGGCCTCGGCGTTGAACTCCCACAGCGAGGCGGCGCGTGCGATGTCCGAGAAGACGATGGCCATCTCGCCCTCCGGCGCGCGTACGCCTGCGGTAGCCGCCGCTGCCGAGGCCGCCGAACCAGCGGAGCTCGAGGAGTTGGTGCTGTGGTTGCTGGCCGAGCCGGTGGTGGCGGTGGGTAGTGTCCACGAGGCAAAGCCCTTGCTCGGCCCACCGCTCGACGACGATGACGTGGAGGTCTTGGTGAACGACGACGTGCCGCCATCGCCTCCCAACGCGCTCAGCCGCGTCATCGCCTCCTGTTTTGTTTGTAGGGAGACATTAGTAATTGGCAGCTGCATGCGTTGGATTCCCGAGGCCCATACATGGGGGGGGGAAAGAGAGCGTACAAGGAAGGAGGGGCGGATGGTCGGGTCGTGGTGCCAGCAGGACTGGACGAGGTCCACGAACTCGGGCGGAATGGTAGGGTCGTCATCGGGCAGCGGCGGGCGCACGTTGTCTCTGATGACCGCCACGGCCACCGCCGCCGGGCTGCGCACCGATCACAGCAGAACAATCAAAATGAGAATGAGAATGAGATTGCGATTAATATAACCAGCCTGGTGCAATGATTGGGTGTGACGTGACGTGACGTGCGTACCTCATGCCCATGTAGGGCTGCTGGCGAGTGCTCAGCTCCCACAAGATGATGCCGAACGAATAGATGTCGGCCAGCATGTAATCGATGTCGATGGCCTCGTTGAGGATCTCCGGCGCCGTCCAGTGCACGCTGCCCTGGATCTCCTTGGCGTTGCCGCGCTTGAGCTCCTCCCTGAACTTGGTCAGGCCAAAGTCGGACACCTTGACGTTCCACTTGGAGTCGAGCAGCAGGTTGAGCGATTTGAGGTCGCGGTGCACGATGCCCGACGAGTGGAGGAAGTGCATGCCCTTGGCCGCCTGGTAGGCCATCTTGTTGCGCAGCGCGAACGGGATGTCCGGGATCAGCTCGTTGTGCAGCAACTGTCGTGTGTGTGTGTGTGTGTGTGTGTGTGTGTGTGTGTGTGTGTGTGTGTGTGTGTGTGTGTGTGTGTGTGTGTGTGTGTGTGTGTGTGTGATGAGCCTACCAGACACATGATTGCAATAAAGCGCAGAGGAGAGGGAATGATTGCGTGCGTGGTGGACAACGTACGTCGTAAAGAGAGCCGAGGGCCATGTACTCCATGACGATGCACATCTTGGGTGGCTTGGTGCATGCCGCCATGAACAGCACCACGTTGGGATGCCGCAGTGCTGTCATCACCCGCACCTCCTCCTTGAAGCTGCGTTCCATCTCGCGCGACAGCGTCTCCGAGATCATCATCTTGACGGCCACTTCGGTGCCCTTCCACATGGCCTTGTGCACCTCACCGTAGCCGCCGGCGCCCAGCTGCTCGCCCATCTCCAGCTCGCCCATGTCCACCTCCCAGTCGTCCTCCTTGCGCCGGTTGACGCGCATCCACACCAGAAGGCCCGCGATGATGCAGCACAGCACCAGGAACGCGATCACCGCCGCCGGGATGATGGCGCCGAGGATGGCCCCAAGCGGCACGTCGGTGCTGCTGGTGACGATGGCCGTCTCGCAGTAGTCGCCCTGGTACCCGCTCTGGCACAGGCAGCTGCCACTCCCCTGCGTGTCGGCCTGGCACACGCCGTGATCGGAACAGACCGTGCCTTGGTAGATGCAGCCGTAGATGGAGCTCACATGCTGGCCCTCGCACGTCATGCCCGCCACGATGTCGAGGATGCGCTTGAGCACCGGCTTGGCCTGGCCCGCCACACCCTGGTAGTTCCTGCGCGCCGAAAAGTAGAGTCAGCGTCAGCGGGTCTGAATGCTACGTCTAAACTGTGTGGTGATAGTGGGTGTCGAAGAGGGAGGTTTGGTACTTGGTGGCCAGGTCGAGAGCGTCGGGGTTTGTCTGGCTCCAGTAGATCCAGTCGATCAGGCCTCTGGCCTTTTCGCAGTCGGGCATGGTCGTTTGGCGGATGATGAATTGATGATACGTCGCCATGGGCCAGCTCTTCGCTCCCCCGCCTGTGTGCACCAAGCCAAGTATGTCAACCTAGTGGAGCGACGGAAGCGGACGAAAGGCTGTGCTGACGTACCGTTGATGAAGTTGGTGATGGTGGGGTCGGCGCCGAAGTCGAGTACCGCTGAATTGAGCGTCTCAAAGGTGGCGCTCACGCGGTTGCCCGCCGGATTGATGAAGTCCGCGAGGCCCAGATTGCGCTTCAGGCGAAGCTGCTCGGTGAGCCACAGGCCCATGGCATACGGGTTGGCGGTCAGCACGTCGCCAACGGCCGTAGAATTGATGTTGCGCCCCAAATCCTCGATTGGCAACCGGGTGTCCATCGAGGGTCCGACCTGCGTGTGCCCCAGCCACCAGTCAATCAAATTGACCACGCGCACTACTGTGAAGGAAATGGCTAATGTGGGGACGAGCAACATACGGCTTGGTTGAACTCGGGGCTAGCCTGACTGAGCGCCTGCGTGAACACGAGCATGATTGTCGGCGCGCCGATAGGCGTCACCACGGTGATGGGCTGGTTGGGCAGGTAATCGACGAGGGTCGGGTTGAGCTCACGGATAGCCGAGTGGTTCCAGTTGTCCACGTGGCCCAACATGATGTCGGCAAGCGTCGTCAAGTTGAACACCAGGGTACCGTGCCCTACCAGCTCCGGCAACTGCGCATACCGGTAACAAACAACTGGGTGAGCACTTGTGAGTGTCACTCCGGGAAGAAAAGCAGCAGCGTACGTTGTAGGCCGGTGCGACGGCGTAGGACAGGATGGGAACCTCGATCACGTCAGGTTGGGCGAGCTTCTGCGCTGCGCTCAACGGAGTGCTGACGCCGCCAAAGTCCACGTTGTCTGCCCATCAAAGAAGGGAGTCCAGAGGAAATAATGAGCGAATGTGGCGCAAGAAATGAGGACATGGGAAGGGAGAGCCATACAAGCGCCCATGTCGGAGATGGCGATCGAGGTGGGGTTCTGGAAGTAACGCAGGCGAATGTTGCCCGACAGGTACTCGGCCATCCACACGGTGTAGAGATTGAACGACAGGCCCTCGCCGATGAGCCAGTGATCGGAACGCGCGGTCTTGGTTGCAGTGAATGTTGCCCATCAGATCAATCAGTCGCCTGAGGGAAAGACCAGAAGTCCGATAAGGCCTGATGCACCAAAGAGGCGTGATTGAACGAACACACAGGTGGAGGAGTACGGCGTACGTCTTGTAGCCAAAGGGCAGGGGCACGTAGCCCAACGACGTGGCCTGTGCGACGGCGCGGTCGTTGAGCTGAGTCCACGCCAGGAAGGCGAGAAACCCTTGGATGAAGGTGCAATCCGATGTGGTGAGGTTGAGCGGCAACAGTGCGTAGTTGACCATGGTGAGAGGCCACGAGGTTGAAAGGTTGCCGTTCACCGCACCAGCGCCCATGTAGGTAGAACTGATATTGGCGATTGCCTCACCAAGAGCCGATGACACTGCCGCGTTCGTTGGACTTACCGTCGCGCCTAAGCACCGTCCCAGGCACGCGTTAGCTTTCCAGACTGGCGACAGCTACAACGCAAGCGAGGGCGTACCGGCTTTGTTCTTGAGCAATGCGCTCTTTACTCCCGCCTGGGCCGCCAAGATCTTGCTCGTATAACTCAGGCTGTACGGTGTGTTCTGTGGTCACAAAGAGAAGTTAAGACACCACCGAGAAGGGGGAGGACCAAACAGGAGATTGTAATAGGCACGCACCAGTACGTAGGTGGTCTGAGCAGTGCCAGGATCGCCCGTGTTGGTGGCATGGTCCTCGATGCCTGTCAACACCGACCAATTGGCCGTGGCGTAGGGTCCCCACACTGCGCCAATGTCGGCATTCGCTTCGGACAACAGGCTCATGAACGTCTGGGTGAGTCCGGCGGCCGTGTCGTTGGCGTAGGCCAGCAGGATGCGCTCTCCGGGCAACGTGGCGTTGGGGTTGAGGGCCTTGATGGCGGTGTCGTTCCAAAGGAGAATGTTGCCATACCATATATCGCCCAGTGTTGGGCCATCCAGCACCTGGCCAAAAAACAGAATCAATACCACAAACATTGAAAATAAAAAAAAAATGATGGAGGGGGGGCAAGTACCAAGTTGGTGACGGAGGGCAAGTTGTAGATGGGCACGAGGGCTTGGGCGATGATGGGCACGAGTGTGTAGCCAGCCGCCGTTAGCAAGTCCTCCGGGTAAGGCGCACCTGTGATAGCGTAGTCCTGTCGTGGTAGCGGTGAGGTGCGTGGTTACTGGTGTGCAAGAGACGTTCAACGTACATAGGAACCAGTGAGTAGTCTCTGAAAAGACTCAGGCACCGTCTCGAACGCAATCGTGGTGTCGCCCTCGGCATACTGTGCCGACAAAAGAAAAAGAAAAAGAAAAGAGGTCAACAATAGCAACGTTGGCCACCATTTGAATGAATGGACATACCTGGTAGGAGTCGACCATCGAAGTCATGTAATTCGCTATGTAGGTGTCGCCGCCGCCCAAGACGGTGGTGGCTGCTGGGTGTTCGAGGGTCAGAACTATGAGTGAGACGAAGACGATTAGCGAGCGATTGTACCTTGGGTTTGGCCGCCACACAGAAGCAGCAAAGTCAGCAGCTGCGCGATGGTGGAGAGCATGGTGGACTGCTGGGTAGGTTGGCTGAGGTGCTGTTGGGTTGAGGTGAATAGATGATGTGGTAGTTGGGGACGTACTGATAAAAGAACGATCGCCTTCAGGTCCTGTCAAGGTTCACGAAACGTCATTCTTGACACCGTCGCCTTGGACGCGGTCACTGACAGGCAAACGAAACCCGTGTGCCCCGTACCATGTTCTCAAGAAGGGACCACTTGCCAATCAGAACGCAACATGTGTGAGTTTGACCATCACAGAAGACCAAGCCACCATGTCCGTTCTCTGTGGTAGAGAACTCTCTTTCTATCCTCATCTTTATACAACCATCGTAACAACCCTCACCACCCTCTCATCGGACACGAGTGGAACCGCGTGACAATACTGTACCAAGACCTATCTACTCATAAGCCCACCGCACCCAACGAAGAAACAGCACTGCAGTACGCAAGCCACCGTCGCGGTGCCGCAATCGTCGGCCACCGCTCCACAGCAGCCGACCGACCGCCAAGCTCAGCAGCCGCCGGCCATCTATATCGACGACGAGAGCCCGCTGCCGAGCTACTCACACCGACGCAGATCTGGCGCGACCCATCGCGCTGGTCGTTGGTCGTGTTCCAGTCGTGCAGGGACGACTCGTACCAAGAACGTGGACGGCAGGTGCGACTGGCCGCACTTGGAGATCGTGTCCGGGTCCAGGGTGGTCAGCTCGCACTGATCCTGACCGCCGCTGCCGGGCAGATATTGATTAATATTATCAATAATATCTCCTGGCCAATAAGAGAAACGGACGTCAACTCCGCCACGGCACACCGGCGTGCTAGCGCTCTCCACTGCGCAGCTCCAACATGTCGGACAGAACACCAACCTGTCGGTACACGCGGATGGAGAACAGCATGGAGATGACTCGAGACACCGCTTCTGCGTCGCTTTCGCACCTCGCCAACTACCCAAACCTCTTCGTCGGCCCGCACAGCTCGCACAGTCCGCAGCCCCCCCCCGGCTTTCCACCACAACTCCGGAAAACTGATCTCCTCTTTCCTTCCCTTCGTAGGTTGTTTCGCCGAGTGTCTCAACTGCGCGCTCGTGAAAGAGTACACAATCCACGACCCGGTGACCAATGCTCGTTCGTCCCCCCCCCCCGCTCTCCCACCCGGGTTCATGTGTAGCACGGGCCACAACTTTTTTTTGAATGCAGACCTCTTCACCGCCGAAGAGGAGGCGAACTGGCTTGGCCTCAACTGCTGCAGCCACTTGCGCTCCTTCAACATGTCCGTTAGGTAATCGGTGCCCAGCGGCCGGCAGCGAAGTGACGGAGTGTGTGCGTGCGTGGCCACTCTGAACGTGATTGTGTTGAACATACCACACAGGACGACCGACGGCGAGCTGTGCCGGTTCGAGAGGCCGTGGCACTGCGAGGGGGGTGGGTGCTACTGCTGCTGTTGCGGCGACTTCTTCTACCAAGTCCTCCGCGTGTACGGTGGCCAAGATTCGGAGAGGCCCGGTGAGCTGTTGGGCCAGGTCGAGGAGCAGTACGCCTACTGCGTGTCCCCCACCTTCAAGGTACCCTGCAAGAGGCCTCTACATGGAAGTCGTCTTCTTCCTCTTCTCCTTCTACTTCGTGGCCTCACACACGTGTTACCTCTCGTTTTTAGTCACAGGTGATGAGAGCCGACGACTCGGTGGCCTTCACCATTGTGAAGGACCAGGCTTATACACTTCAGATGGAGATCTACGAGGGCAGCAAGAGACGTAGAGATGAGCCTGTGGGCTCCATCGCGAAGCTGTACGCGACCTGCCCCCCCTATCTCTTATACCACGGCCTGTGGTTGGTTGATTCTTGTGAATGACACACCAATTGCTGCTCGTGGTCATTGGTGCAGCCGGGGGGGCGATCTCGCCAAGGGGCTCCACATGTCCGCCGCTCCGCTAGCGGTCAACTTCCCACCGACGGCCGATAGTTCCGATCGGGCCCTCCTGCTGGGCGCCGCCTTCCTTCTGGACTTCGTGGTTCTCCAACACGGTCTGCGGGGCTGAGTGGGCAAAGCCGGCTATTGCACACAATGTGACCTCCACAGCTCGAAGATATTGATCCACCAATCGCCATGATCTGCTCTCTTCATAGTCTGCATTACTGGCCGGGTCTGGGCGATCTTCTTGATGGCTCGCGTGCAGAAGTCGGCACTGACTTGATGGGCGTTGCTCACTTGATTGGTGCGCCGACGCAATCGTCACGCACCTCCCAATCGAACACCGTCACACACCAACGATGACGGCCAGGCAAGTGGTTCGCACTAACTCCACAAGTGCGTGTGAGTTGTTCTTCAGTTGTTGTTGGTGGTTGGGTGGGTGGTGAAGTTGGCCAGTCTTCACCGGATCTACTCCCTTCAGTCTGTCTGGCTGAGGCCATCCAGGAGCGCACCGCGCAGGGCACAGCACTAGTGGAGAAGGGGCGGCAAGTGACGTGCTTCGAGGGCGGAAGAACCCTCTGAGCACTCTTGGGATGGTGTTGAAGATGCGACCAACCACCTTATGAGAGTCATCAAGTTGACTCCTATTGTGGGACAGGCCGTCTATGAGCATCATTTGGCAGCCACAAGCACACCAGTGCTGAGAAACTGTAGAAGAAGCATGGGGAGGCGAAGGAGTCATGAGGGTGGCCACGGTGGAATCAAAAGCCAATGAAACGATCCTTGTTCATCATGTAGAGCTGAGCAGCGGTGAGGGGCTCAGTGGAGACGTTCTTTCCCACGGCGTCGACCATGCACTTCTTGCACTTCATCCTGCGCTTCGTTTTCTTCTTTCGCTGGCGATTCGAGTATGCGACCTTCGGCACCAACGCCCCGCACTCGTAGCAGGCGTAGTGTCCCTTCGTGTCCTTCTTCTTGCCTTCTTGACCTGTGGCGGACTGTACGTTCATCGTCTTCCTCTGCTCGCTGATAATCTCGACTTCATCTTCATCTTTTTCATCTTCATCTTCATCTGTGCTTTCCTCATCCTCTTCATCTCCGATTTTTCGCTTCGTGCCACCCTCACCAGCTTCCTCGTTGTCTGCAAAGAACTCTTTCTCAAAGAACCATGCGTGTTCATCCGCTTCCTCGGCCGGGGTCCGGTTCTCATCTTCTTTGCTCTGCTCCTCGATCGCCGATTTGGTGCTGCTCAAGTCCTCGGTCACCTCCGGTACCTCCTCCACCATCATCGCCTTCGCCGGCGTCTTGCTGACCAACTCGACCAGCCACGAGGACAGCTCCACCTTCTCCATCTCCAAATCTGTCAATCTGAGAATCATTCAAACCAGCTAAAATGCATTCTTAATTTGTTTTCTTTTCATTTTTCTTTTGTGTTTTTGAATTTCTGCTTTCTGTGCAATTTCGGCGACAGAGCTGAGTTAGAAGAAGCTAGGGCGTGACGTGACCCACTGTGTTGAAATCCAGGCAGGAAGGTGCGGAAATCAGGTCTTCGATGGTCCTTCGGTCCATGTCTCTCATCTCTTCCACCACAGCCAGGCACACAAGGAAAAGGGCACCACTACTGCGCCACCACTTCACCACTTTGCCGCAAGCGCGCGCACGTGAGTAAGCCAACTCATCGCGGTCACGCGCACAGCCCACCCCACGAAACAACACTCAACACCCAACGCTCGACCACAACCCGTCCGTTCAACTCCACACCCTGTAAGTCACCACTCTCTTTATCTTTCTGTGTCCCTCGTTGGCTGGTCTGACCTGAAGAGAACAGAGCGAGAATGCTGCGCGTGCTGTTGAGAGGAGGACCGCGAGGCCTGACCTCGACTAGCGTCACTACTTCGCCGGAGGAGGGCAGCTGCATCATGGATGACGCTGACATCAGCTCGACCGCCACCACCACAACGCCCCCCTCGGGGCAGGTGAAGCCTAAGATGGCCGAGGCGGTGGCGCTGCCGCTGGGCGTGGTGAACATGATGAACGTGGTGGCGATGAAGGCGACGACCATCGCCACGAAGGGGGATAGAAAGGAACAGCTCAGCATTGGGCATGAAGAGGAGGAAGACGATCGCGTGGAGGGCGAGGACGACGAAGACGTGGACATGGACTCGCCGCGCTACAAGAAGCCCAGACGAGAAGTAGAGCAGAAGAAGAAGGAACATGAAATCAACGAGCACATGGACACCCACTCCGAGGAAGAGAAGCAAGAGCCCTTGGAGTCACTCCTCTTCAACACGTTGCCACCCGAGGTACAATCTTTTCTTTTCTTCTCTTCCTCCTCTACGTTGGTTGCTGAAGTGGGTACAGCTGGTTGTGCGCGTCTTCCACTACTTGCCGGTCAGGGATCTGGCTCGGGCCTCCCTGACCTGCTCCCTCTGGTACTCACTTGCCCAAGAGGACCAGATCTGGCGCTCCCTCTTCAACGTACGTTCTTCTTCTTCCTCTTCGTCTTCTCCATCATGTTGCCCTCACCCATTTTTTGTCGACAAATGTAGTACGCCCGACATCAGCACTTCCTCGAGTGCAGCCCGAGCGAGCGAGCCACGACGACGACCACGGCGGCGGCGGGAGGGGAGGGGCGTCGGAGAGGGAGCGTGAGCACCGGCGACGGGTCGTGGAAGGCGAGGTTCAGGGACACCTACAGCGTCAAGCGCAAGTTCTGGTTCGGTTCCAACGAGGCGTTCGTCCACCTCGATCACACTTCGTTCCGCTGCAGCGAAGACGAAGACGAAGAGCAGGTATTAGGCTCCGGCGAACGCAACACACGATACACATGACACACACAACAAGTGGAGAATGCTGATGGTCGTGTCTGGTGGAGGAGCAGTTTCTCACAGGCGAGGTGGTGCTCAACATCTACTCCGAGTCGATCACTACGCACGGGCTCTACCTGGCCCTCGTGGGCGAGGAATGCTTCAAGGCCATCGACGCCGAATCGCTCTCCATGAACGCGG